AGAGAGAGAGAGAGAGAGAGAGAGAGAGAGAGAGAAGACACTTCAGCAGCTTGATCATGCATATAACTAAAAAACCGATCCGCGACTCAGGTTTAGTGAGCCAGCGCGACGTTAATCCCAAGCGCCTTGTTTCTCGAGGCCGCCTCATGGTTCGACTGCTGATGTCGGACAGCATAAGGCAGATGGCATGCGCCGTGCACTCAAAGCTACAAATCTAAACACTCTTGCATTCTCAGACGAAATCCCGACGACAATCGTCTAATCAATGCCAAAGAGACGCGCATTTCCATACATTCATTCACCGTGGAAGATGCAAAAAATGAGCCATGCACAGGAAAAGATGGACTGCTTGCACAGTACACACGCATCCACCGTTCACAAGACAAGAAGACGGGGTCCTTGCGCGGGAGGATTACCCAGAAAACTAATGGAAGAGTTCCGGAAGAAGTTCTTTCACGCAAGGAAAGCATACAGATTCATGCTCATCCAGAGGAGGGAAAGAGAGAGAAGGAGAGAAGCATCTAGACACATCATTATTCAAAGATAGAGGAGAAGGGGAAGGTGAGGGGGAGGGGAGGGTCGAGATAGGAGATGACGCAATCCAAAAGAAGGAAGTTCAGCGTTGTAAGAGAGAGAAAGATCCGCAACAAGAAAGGCGCATTCGCCGTTAATTCCAATATGGCCCCGGCCCAATAACTCACTCAACTCCAATCATCGATCCTCATTCCCGCACCAACGATCCCGGCCGCCGCGTGCTAACTCCCACCACTACGATCGTCACCCCGCTGTCGTAGACTCGACACGGTTAGCCCAGATCCCACAGTCCGTCGTGGCGATCCAGCGCGCAACTGGCCAGCCTATCGTCAACCCGACAGGACTTTCCGACTCGCACCAAACACTCTGCCTAGCCACTGCTTCCCAGAAGCTGGCTTGAGAGTCGAGAACGGAAGAGAGCTTTGCGGACGTGCTTGCGGGTTTTATAGTTGCGACAGATGGGATAGAAGAGGGAAAAAGCGACGGGGAAGCTGAGGTGTAAGAGGAGAAGCAGGAGGAGAAGACTTTGAGAAGAGTGCTCTGTGAACGCCATGTTGATCCCTCGGAACTCAAGGTTCAACCAATCAGATTCGCCGCACAATAGGAAGATCCTATTGATCCACACACCTGATTGGCGAGCGGGAGTTATCGACGGATCGATCGGGCGTCGTGCGTTGGACTCACAGGGTGAGAAGAGAAAAGGCGCGAGAAGTAGCGCAAGACGGGTCGAAGATTGAGATGATCAAGAAAGGGAAATGGGCGCGCAAAGAACAGAGCATGAGGAAGAAAGAAAACAGTTACGGGGAGAGAGAAAGAGGAGGGAGGAGGGGAAAGGAGCACTGGAGGGAGCAATGTGGGGGACAAAGAGGAGGAAGTTTTGCACAAGCGGCACCGTCAACAAAAAGAGAGAAAAAGGCACAGCAACGGTTACAACGTGCTTCTATCCTAATTCAAGATTGAAATCACCATATCCGCTCGCGAAAAGGTGATGCGGGAAAAGAAAATCCTACGCCTATTCGTATTCGTACAAAATTCCGAGAGTTTTCCCCGATGCGACCAAGAACATTCACACCTACGGAAAGGACACGTCAAAGTTCCGCTTATCCCGGAATTCCCAACTGCCGATCCCAATTCCCAGTGCGCTCACTAAAGCGCACGTAATTTCCTATGTATTGTAGAAAGGAAAAGCAGAACCCGAGAGTCGAAAAAGCTATCCGAAAGATGGGAGCCAAAAACGCGGTACCCGAAGTCAAAAAAACGAAACGGGGTTTTTATGGGGTTGGTATGATACAAGCAAAAAGGGGTACGAAAGATAGCACGGGTTCGGGAAGTGGTTCGTCACATATGTGACACGCAGGGGGTTCCGAAATTATGCGATCTCCTGATTGCATGTCATGGCGGAACAGAATGATGCATGAGGAACCAAGCGTATCAACAAACGATCCAGCCAGAGTCCATGTTGACGTAAACTTCAATTGCAATTGTCTGTTGTTGGAATCCTCGATGGTCGTCCAGGTGACGCCATCATCGTCCACTAGTTCTCCGTGTGCTCTGCACCCCTGCTGGTTGCTACCCGTCGAATCAAAGCGTGAGTTGACGTCCTCGTCGATGGCGTGATCTTTGTGAAGCTTACTGATTCGTGCCGTTTTCCCCTGCTGATTGGATGAAGAGAGGAGGGAGAGAAGGGGGGGGGGGGGAGGGGGGGTAGTGATGTGATCGGGATCTACCTCCTAGTTGGAATGGGCCAATAGAGGCGGTACATGGAGGGGATTTCACGGGGTCGACGGGGAGGAAGTGGGGGTAGGAAGCAATTCATTCCTTCCATCGTCACCGGAGGCTCCTCATATCGGATGATCCGGTGGAAGTGGGGGAAGTGATCACCGCTGCGAGGGAGGGAAGCAAGGTAGTCGTGATAGAAGGAGGAGAGGGTGCGGAAAAGCGCCGCTCAAAAGAACTCGTAGTGGCGGCAGGCGGGGATTGTCCCCGTGGCAACGCAGTCAACCTCTACCACGTTGCATCGCTCCCATGCAGCGCTGAACAGCAGGAGATGCCAGCAGAACGTGGGGGCAGCGGATTGAAGGGAGGCGTGGGGGTGGACGGTGGCGAGTAGGCGGGTACAGTAGAAGTCGCGGAAGAGATGGGGAAGGAAGGGATGGGAAGGGAAGGTGACGGGGGTACGGATCTGCTCGAGGGTGAGGAAATCAAGGGGTCAGCGGGACAGCGTCCGAGGACGAAGGCCTACCGCCCGCATTGGGACGTGGGCGAACTGGGGGACGGGTGGGGCTGGAGGAGGACGAGGATCGGTTCCGTCTCTGTCGCGCGGTACTTGAGGTGGCGGCTGCAGGGTCGCCATCTTCGGCCTTTGGCGGCTCCGGGTCCCTGGTCGGGTCGTTGCCGATGCGCAGGCTGGCTCCGCTGGCGAACTCCAGCTGTCGCTTTCCGGTGGAAATTTCTTCGCGCCTTCGCGTCGCCTCCGGATCTTCCGCCTCTGTTCCCTTGTGCGCCGCTTCCTCCGGCAAAGCTTCCCACTCCGACTCGCTTCCTTCTTCTCCTTCCTCTTCTTGTTCTTCACTCGTCTCGCCCTCGCTATACTCGTTATAGCTTCCCTCCTCCGATGTTTCCTCGTCCTCGTCTTCTTCGTCGTCGTCGATCACCACTTCCTCCGCCCTTGGATAAAAGGCGTGAGGGATGATATTGTACGGCTTGAGATACTCCTGCCGCGATGGTAGCGTATCCTCGTCCCTGGGTTCCTCCAAGCACGCAGTCCACTGAAGGTACAGATCCAATGATTGCTCGAAAATGTACGGAGCAGGACTAACGTCACTCTGTGAATAGATGTCGGGCGAGAGATCGTCCGCCAATTGCACGATCGGTGCGATGAGCTCCTGCGCAATCAGCTGGCGGCGCCCCGGCTGTACCGATCCAAAGAGAAAGCCAAGAAGATCACCCTCCACGTTAGTCCTCCAAGCTTGGATGATTAGCAGCTCCGGATTTTTGATCCACGCAGGATGCTCCCTGGTCTGTGTCCACGTCACTTGTGCTTTGGCCAAGCAGAAAGACAGCTCCTCAAAAATTTTGCGCCACAACCGCCAATTTCCAGGATTGATAAGAGGGACTGAAAGAGGCTCGAACGAGAAGGAAAGAGAAGGATGAAGATCGAATTGCCAGAAGGTGGGGAAGAGAGAGGGGAGACCAAAGATAGAGAGAGGAGCGAGAAGATCGGCGTGGTTCATTGGGGATGTGGGAAGGGGACGAGGGTTGGGATCGCAACTGGCCGCTCGCGCGGTGATCGGCGAATATCGCCAAGATCCGGTGCGAAGATCAGGATGAGGTTATACCCCTGTCGGGCGACGTGCTGCCACACGTTGGACACTTGCTCCATCCACTCGCGCAGCGAGGTCAAGATCGCAGTATGCCACAGTGGATTGATCGAGCTGATGTCGCCGCTGAACGCCGCAACCGTGGTGACGTGGCTCCTTCTCGGACCCGCCCGCCGATGAACTGCAGTTACCTCTGCGAATACTACTGCGTGAGTACTTCCTTCGATTCGAAACGCGGCGGCGGCACAGATACCTTCGTCGCAGAAGAATCGCATCAAACGCCGAAGATCCGTATTGAGACGAGGGTGACAAACTTGCCGAATCTCTGAGATGTGGCCACGTGGCTGCAACAGTTGTGCGTCAAGAACCCGCTCCGTGATGAAACTCATGGCGAGGTGGGGGAGGATGTCGAAGGACAAGAGGGAGAGAGTGGAAAGAGGGTTAGACCGTCGTCGTTCTCCTCGCTTTCCGAGGAAGAAGAGGGAGGAAGATCGGAAGGAGGAAGGAGACGGAGGTAGGAGGTATGCCGAACGATGGGGATAGAGCTATGGCTGGTGCTAGCCTCGGGCGCGATGCGCACCGTGTTGGCACCGTTAGGACCGAGCTCGACAACGCGAAAACAACCAGAGAACTTGGGAGCGAGTTTACGGTCGCGTGCACATTTACGTACATTCACTAGGTCCCCTAATTTATATTGATGTTGAGGCCCAACATTTCCGTTCCGAGCCTCGTGACTACAGACTTGTCTACCGTGGGCCAGTTCGGTCATCCTTTGCCTTTTTTGGGCTAGCTTCGGGACGGCCCGTTCCATTAATTCGGTATACCTTTTGGTCTTGGCCTTGAGGGCTGCACGCGTGTCTCTGCCCCCCGCTTCGGCAATTTTCGAGCTACACCGGTAGTCGACACAGGGGAGGCTATTAGTTCGAAGCTGGAAAGGGGTAAACCCCGTGGACTCGTGGGGGGTGGCCCGGTGGATCCCGACGATCTGATATACGTTATCGGGCCACGGACGCGTGTCATGTGCCACTAAGTTCCTGCGAAGGGCGGTTTTAATCATACGGTTGGCATTTTCGGCCAACCCGTTCGACTGGGACACGTGGGGTGCCGTATGTCGGAGCGTGACGCCCCTTCGCGCAAGCAATTCTTCTACCTCACCCTTGAATTCAGACCCATTGTCGGTCAGAATTTCTTCCGTATCTAGATAGGTATAGTGGAACCGTTCAATGTACGTGGCTATTTCTGCAGCCTTTCGGGTCTTACAGGGATAGACCTCGATGTATTTGGAAAAATGGTCTATTAATACTAACAGGATAGAACATTCACAACGGTTTGGGTCAGGTGGCACGTCGATATCTGTCGTGTTCATACTGACTCATTGGAAAGGACGCTCTACTTCCGTTGGTATGATCGTGTTTGGTCCTCGTATAGGGGCGCGATCAGCGGCACATACCAGACAGTTAGTGACAATGTATTTGACATCATCTCGTATATTGGACCAGAACCATTGGTTCTGATCTACAGTTGCCTCCGTGACACGTATCGCGAAATGAGCGGCCTGTTCTTCGTGAGCCGATCGGATCCAATCATATCTCTGGAATGGATGGGGAACCGTCAACCACGAGCCCGATCCGTCAGTTTTACGCTTTTCCAAATGACCGTTGACCCATCGATAGTCCCGAGATCTCTCGGTCGCCCTACGTCTGTCGTGTTTGGTGAGGTGGCCCAATGATAATCCCGCTAATTTCGCCAATAAAATTTTATCCGTCCAAACCTTTGCTCGTCGGTATTTTTCATCGTATTCGGGGCCGTCCGTACGGGCGGCCTCGAATCGAACCTCCGTGGGGAGTTTGTTCGTTCTACACAGGGGGCACCTCCATTCCTTACTATTCGTCCGATATCGAACGCAGGCCCCGTGCGCACGATTGACACACGTGGCACATTCTACCCAGTCGACAAACCCGGTTTCGAAAGGATGACAGTCGACCCCATAAACCCGTGCAATGCACGTGCAAAAATAACATAATTTATCGGGGAGGGTGGCAAAGAAAGTTGAGGACGTGAGAGGGGCAGAATTAGTAGGAGATGAAGGGATTGCGGAGGCAAGTGGGGTAGTCATGATGACAGAGGAGGAAGGGATGCAGAGAGAGTAGAACAGACCAATTAGTCTTCGTGTCACTCACTGCTTCGATAAGATCTCCACTTGGCCGTACCGAGGTCCAATCTCCTGTTCAGGTTCGTTCCACGAAATCACCTCCTCACTCTTCGGAACTTTCTCAAGCGGGTGCAGTCGTGTTAGTCCGTCCGCATTCCCGTGCCTCTCGTGCTTTCGATGACGAATGTCAAAGTCCATGCTCTGCAGCACCGTTACCCATCGCCCGATCATGCCAGAGTAATCCTTCGATTTCTTCAGAGCCAACAAGGGTTCATTATTAGTTACCAAGGTGAACTTTCGCTCGTACAGCGCGAAAGTGGCTGATTCCCCAGAGAGTCGCGTAGCACTCCCCCGTTGGAGCGGCATAGTTGCGCTTGTTGGACGCATACTCCACCACACTCTCGAGTCCGCTTGGTCCCACCTGGGCTAGGATCGCCGAAATTGCCTCTGGCTGCCAGTCAGTGATGAGAACAAAAGGCTTTTCGGGAACCGGTCTTATAAGGACCGGAGACGAAATGAGAGCGGCCTTGAGTTTGGAAAACACTTGATCGCATTCTGGTGTCCAGATCAACGGCCGATCTTTGCGCAGCAGATTCGTGAGGGGTCCCGCAATCSCTGCGAAGCCCTTGATAAATCTTCGGTAGTACGAGGCCAGACCCAGAAAGGCACGAACTTGCGTGATAGTTGTAGGCACCGGCGCATCCCTGATAACTGCCACCTTCTGTAGCTCCGGCTGGAGTCTCTTGTCTGTCACCACGTGCCCTAGGAAGGAAATGGTGGTGAGAAAAAACTGACACTTCTCAAGCGTCACCTTGAAGCCCGCATCTCGTAACGCGTGCAGTGCCCATTCGATGTGCTGCACATGTCCCTCGTAGGAACTCGAATACACCAAGATATCATACATGTACACAATCACGAAGTAATTGATGATGCTCTGTGCCAAACGAGTCTTTCTCACGAAATTTTGAAAAGCCATGTTCATGGTCCGCTGAAAGGTCGCGGGGGCGTTGCAGATACCCATTGGACATCAAATTCACTGCCACGTGCCCTCGAAAAGTACAAACGTTGTTTTCGAACGATCTTCTTCTCCAACAAGAAGATGATGGAACCCATGGCGAACATCAAACTTGCTGAAAAATCGAGCACTCCCAATCGCATCCAACAGCTCATCAATCCGGGGGAGGGGGTACACATCTTTGATCGTGATATCATTCAGCTTTCGATAATTAATGCAAATGCGAATCCCTCCGGCCTTTTTAGGCACGATTACTAGGGGAAAGGACCAGGGACCTATGGCGGGTTCGACCCATCCATTAGCTTCAAATTCTTTAATTCGTTGAAAAGCGGCCGCTCTTTGAGCGGGCGAGTATCGGTAAGGAACGCAGCTAATGGGTGGATGGTCTCCCATGAGAATAGCAGGCTCGATCACATTAGTTAAGCCGATGTCATTATCGTGAACGCTCAATACTTTTGCGTAACCATTTAACACACAGATTAACGACTTTCGAAGTTCCGCGGGAACGTGACTCGGTAGGGTAATTGTTGATTCCCCAAAAATCTTAAGGGGCTTATCGACCCAATCGACCGACCGTTCCCGTCAATCATAGACACTAGAGAAAACGGAACTACTGGTGCGAACAGAGAAGACAGTTGCTATCATATGGGACTCAGCGGGGCTAATCATCTCCGTTTCTTTAGTTTCAGCATGAGTCTCTGAACCAACCGAGGTCGGTTCCACAGTTAGCCCTGTTAGATCCGTCATTTCCTGCATCAGATAAGGTACATCACTTACCGGTGCTTCCGCCTCTTGTTTAATCAAAGCGATGCTGACTCCTGTCGTTAGTAACATTCTGGGCGGAAAAACAGAAACATCCAAATATTGTCCCATTTGCTGATAACGCGTTCGTAAGGAGAGAGCTCCTTCGTACAAGGTGCAAGGGGGTTCCGAATCATCGACCAGGTCAAATACTTGTAATATAGGTTCCCCAAGCAGGACCGAAGGACTAACTTGAGTTATCGGAGGCGCAAGCGCGCTGTCTCCTGAATCCATGTGGAAGCTTCGAGCAGGGTCGGGGCACACTTGGAATTCTTCGGGAATTTCGTGTTCGAAAAGTTTAACCAGGTGCTTTCATTCATCTTCGCTAGGCAACTCTTCTTCGTATTCCTGTTCCTTGATTCCACTATCAATATCCGAGGAAGAACACTCCTCGGGATTAATGTATCTAACCATCCCTATTTGGGCCGAGTCAGGGGTTCGTTTTATCGTTCGGGTGGAAAGGAACAGTTTGAGGCTTTTCCCCAGTTTGAATGAGCACCAGTTGTTTCGAATCGAAATGCAATCGTGCGCCCACCGCCATCGCCCAAGGCAATCCTATTAGTACAGAATAGGAGCGCACATCTATCACGAGCGCGTTGACTAGGACGTGTACTCGTCCAACCTTTACAGCCACGTTTTCAATAATGCCTACGATATTCATTGCTTCCTCATCGGTGGAGACATAATTGTCTTTGCCAGATTGAGGAAAAATGGATCCGAGTCGTCCCGTCTTTCTGACAGTGTCTAATGATATGGCTACTGCGGAAGACCCTGCGTCGATAAGGGCGTTAAACGGCTTGCCCCAAATCTCGCAATCACACTCCCCGCTTTTCCATAGCACCGGCCGAGCTCGTACGAAGTGATTTTTCTCAACTAAAGAGATCGCTGCTATTCGTGCGGCCTCAGGTTCGTAGGCTTCGGGTTCGAGTTGTGCAACTTCCTCGTTTCCTTCCTTCTTCTTTAACATTCGTTGTATGCGCTGATAGGTGAAGCGCTTTTGATTTTTCTGGCAATGTTAAAAAAACTTATCATTCGCCGCTTCAGATATGGTGAGCAGATGTCCCACCGGGATCGCAACACGAATATCCAGTTATTTGAGTGCTCGTAGCACATCAATCTCTCCTGTTCGGAACTGGGGACCAGGATTGGATTCGCGATCGACCCATTTGAGATCATCAGGGGCCGATCAGATCGCTCCGACCATGCCTGCAAGATGAAGATATTCGAGTGAATCGACCACGTCCGCAGCGTCAGAGGGAGAAGCTCCTGATGTCGTTGTCATTGTCGTCGAGGGGGAAAGCTGCTCTGGGGCATATGCCACGAGCTCTCCTCCCTGGGCTGTATCCATCAAAGCGGCCACTCGTCCTTGATTCAAGGCCACGGGGGCCGCCACAGGTGGGGGCTGACTACGTTTTGGTTGCGGGCAGTCTCGGGCGAAATGCCCGGGCTGTTTGCAGTTAAAACACTCGATCTTTCTTGGTGGATTGGTTAGGTGAGGGAACTGAGGCGCGTACCCTAGCGCAGGCGGGGCAGGTAAGAACGGAAATGATGCGGGGGCCGGCCGAGCAGAGGCTGGGTTAGGCTTGATTAGCCTACTCATTATATGTTTTATCAGTTCCATGTGAGCGGCCTGCATTTGGATCAAGTTGCTCATCCATTCGGGCTGCTTGGTAGTGGCCGTATGGATCATCTAGGCAAGGTGTAAGTTGGTTATGGCCGGCGATGGGGGTTCGGGTGAGATTCCACTTTTAACTGCCGCAATTGATTGATTCACCGGAGGAAAGGAGGAAGAAGCAAGTGGGATATCGGAAACGATCCCGCCGGGAAGGTCATGGTCGGGGCGGGGGTAAAATCGTTCGACTGCCTGCAACCACGACCGCCTTTTAGCCGTTACGTCCCGTATGGTATCTGTAATATCTTCATCTCCCTGACTGATATATTTTTTTGTATCAGCCAAGTCCAGTTCCAGTGCTTTATCAATTATAGTTGATAACTGGTGTGTTTTCGGCGGGACCTTTTTCTGCAATTTCCCTTTCAATGTCGGACTTCGTAGGTGATCGATGAACAAATCTCGAGCAGATTTCTCGTCTCGCCCGGATTTGTCCAACGTGGTTTGAAATCGATCCACAAAATCGGGCAACAATTCCCCTGGTCCTTGGGGCCGATTTTTTAGCACGTACCAGGCGACATCTTCACTGACCGTATCGAATCAAGCTAAGAAGGTTTGTTTGAAAGTATTCCAATCTACCCACGTATGTTTTCTAAACCAGTCACGCGACGTATTCCGGAGTAGCAATGTTAGAACGCGGGGAAGATCGGCAGTGCTGTAGTTTTGAGCTTCGACAGCTTCCAGCCAAGCCTCGGGATGGGTATGGTTAGGGAAGAAAAGGAAGGGGGCAAGGATGCTAACAATCACTCTAGTACCGTCCACCATTGGTACTGGCGGTGTAGCCGCACCAGATTGAGACCTGGTGACTGGGGGATCTCGACGAGCCACTTGAGGGTCTCTCCTACCTCTCGCCAATTCGACTTACTATCATCAGAACCGACACGTGTCGTCTTCGACACCAACCTCACTCCCTGTGTTGTCTTTCGTTCGGAGTGGAGATGATCACGAAGTCATAAGCCTTAGGGGGAAACGAAAAAGCAAATGTTGGCAAATCTGATAGGCCTGAGGAAAGTTGCCGGTTTTAGACTTGAGGGCCTCGCCACACCACTATTGAAATTTAAACGGACTTTCAAGAGTTCGCGCATGACCATACAGCCTCCAGAAAGCACTGGGTTGAAAAGACCTTCAAACAGCCCTTTCTGACCCCTCTTGAAGGGCTTTTTAACCCTCTTAATTTTGGGCGTTTCAACTTAAGAGGCGTCAGAACAGGCTTTTCAAGCGTCCCAAAATTAATCCCTTGAAACGCCCATTATTAATCCCTTGAAACGCCTGCAAGACTCAAACCACCCTCTATTTTTTTTTTATTCTTTTTTAAGTAAGGGTGCTCGGTTGAGCACTCACAGCACCCTTCGTTTTCTTTTTCCTTTTGGGGGGCCCGGGCGTAAGTACTTTCACGTCACACCCCATGTTCAGAATCAGCTGCTGTAGCGAATGCAGTTTTTAGCAGTTCCCGAAAACTCGCAAAAAAGGCGGGCAACGCTCTGAAAGAAACTGCATTCACTACAGCGGGTGATGATGGCTGGCATAATTTCAAATCAGCGGTAGACTTGGCAATGCACATTTTCAAACTCATGGCATGAGTACAGAGTGCCCCTTTGTCTTTTCTTGTGCTGGTTTGAAACTGTTCCACAGTTTCCACTTTTTTCTTTCTTTCTTTCAAAAAGTCCATGGTGTTGTAGAGCCTCAGGCCAGTCACTGAGTGCACAGTGATCAGCTGGAGCAGTGGGCCGTGAGTGTCCTGGAATATGAGACCGCCTCCCATCCCATCCTAACGTCAATCACTCCTAGCGCACCCCTTATCCCACTATCCTCCCTCAGTGTGACCAGCACTCAGGACCATTACCCTACCAATGGGCAGGCAACTTGGACTGAACAGCAGTGATAGGCACCTGGGCTGAGGGCTGATAGGTTGCCCAGCGGCGCCCTGGTGGAAGCGGAAGCGGAAGCGGACGAGCCTTGTCGAGCGGGAAGTTTGGACGCCAGGCCAAGACAATCTACTACAGGCCCAAAGAGACTCTGACCCTAGGTTCAGACAGGGTAGCACCCACTGAAGCAGTCTTACCGTCCTTCCCCTCGCTTACCCAAGGTCAGGCGGAACTCGGACTGGCCTGAGCGACTTTCACAATCTACCTACCACTCACTACTCCTAAGTTTATGCAGGGGACCCCTGCAAACATAGCTACTAGCCTACTACCTCTCACAATTAAGGGGATGCCTCTGCCGGCACTATGAAGTATACTGCTTAATATGAGCAATTTCCGTTATAAGTAACATACGCCTCGCAAGTCAAGCCACTCTGGTCAAGCCCTCTCTCTCTCTCTCTCTCTCTCTCTCTCTCTCTCTCTCTCTCTCTCTCTCTCTCTCTCTCTCTC